TGCAAATAGTTTGTATGCACGCAGAAAATCTATCGTTTCATATTTGTTGACAAATTTGTTGTCAAGATCACGACTTTCTAGAGTGAACGTAGGACAGATCTGAAGAATTTCAGCCATTCACTTCCCTTCCGCTTTATTCGCGACGCGAATGTAAAAAGACAAAACAAAATAATTAATACTCATACTTTTATTACACTATATAAGATAATTAGTTAATTCTTCTTTATAAGTCAGCTAAAAATCGTTCGTCCAAGAAAAAAAGTACTTGAGAAAGACTTGCATGCAGAATTGCACCCAGATATTGCCAGAAAAAAGGTATCGGAAAAATATACTGTAATCGAATCCAAAGTTTAGCCACGATTTTGAAATATTTTTAAAAACATGGAGATAAGCGTTTGAAACACATCAGAAAGAATACAATAGTCAATCTAAAATTTTTTACAAAAACTTTTATTTACCATTCTAAGAAATTGTGAAAGGCTTAACAAAATTCGTCGGTTTAGGAAAGATGCGATTTGCTATATGAAAAATTACTTCGATGCCAATATTTTTCAGGGAGCTCTAAATAAACAAACAAATACATAGAAAACCGTTTTACTCCGAAATATGGTTCCGCTGAAAAATGTTTCTTCGTTAAAGATTTTCGCTTTCAAAAATGGCGTACGTAAACAGTTTACTTCCGTGTTTACGTGACGAATCTCAAAATAGAAACGCTTTATTCCATCCCTCTATGTATGACGCATTCTACGGAAAAGCACGAATTCAATTCCGAGGGAGGATGGAGCATTCTGCTGTTATTGTTTTCCGCCGATCAACTCCAGAAGCAAGGCCAGGCCACCTGGGAATTTTTAAGAGGCCGTCAGCACCTAATCCTGGCACTTATCCAGGAAGGGAGGGACGTTTCGAAGCATTTGGTTTTATTTTGTGCCGCACATTTCTTCTAAAACAGGTGCTGTTGATATTCAGCAGAAAAAAAGATTCTAACGATACTTTACATAGAATATTTCTCCTTTAGTTCCGATTGTACGAAAAAACAGCAAAAATGATGTCCGAAACATAAACAGTCACAATTTTCGTAACTGTTTATTTAACAATTAGCTTATTAAACAAGTTTTAAAAAATCTGAGAGAATCAAAGACTGGTGCTTCAATGAAATATTATTCAGTGGTGCAGTTATTATTCAGTTAGTGGTGCAATATTATTCAGTTCTTGTTACAAATAATTTTTGTGTCATATCTCTGCGGAATAAAATGTATATATTCTTGATTATCAGTAAACGTCACGATGAAACGATTTTATAGCATATCAAAAAGTTAATTAAATGCAGAGGTACTAACTAAATAGGGTCTACATTAGACGACACGTGGGAGCATGGTATTAAATGTGGCACCAAATTATGTTTTCGAAACATAATTAACTAGTCACCCAAACCAAAACATATGAACTCGTTGTCGCTGCCATCTTAAGTATTACAAATTCGAAAAGGAAACGCATTTAATATCGAGGATACAAGAAATAAGTCACAGTTTGTTTTTCGATGATATTTAATTCAGCTTAAAAAGAAACTTGGCCATTAAAATATGAAATATATACGAATCCGATTATATGGAAAATATGTTTTATGTGTTATTATAAAGAATAGTGATTTTTAACATAATTGTAATCTACTATTATGAATAATTATTTTTTGTTGTATGTAACATAATTGTAATCTACTATTATGAATAATTATTTTTTGTAGTATGTATTTATTTTTAATATACTTACAATATATTATTCAGACAAACTATTTTGATAAACTATACATTTAATTTATTTTAATATACTTATATTATTCTATTATGAAAACTATTTTAATAGATTATATAGATTACAATTTCAGTGTACTATTATGAGTAACTTTTAATTTACTATGTTACTATGTACTAATTTATTTTTATGAGATCTGAAGTATATATGACGCTTGCACATGTAATTAATGCAACATAAAGAAACTGAAATATATGCTGCCGTTTGAAAATAGATGAATCTACAAAATTAAAATATAGCTTTGAGCAAGAGATTTCGTCACAGCCTTCTTAGTTAATTTCGGTGAAGAAAATTTCTCTTACACATACATCTAAAATCAGTTACGAAACACTTCAGGATCAGATCACTATTTCTTAAGATCACGAAAAATTAATAAAAAGAATCTAAGAGTTTTGTTTTGTCTTAAGCTTACCAGATATTCTGGTTAGAGCATCTTACGTAACTATTAGGATATCAGCTGGATAAAGAAAGATAAATTTATACTGGTGGTAAGCTAACCTAAAAACAAGGGGAAAAGTCACAACCAATGTACGACCAACAATAAACATACGGCCGCTAAATAAAATATTTCTTAAAGATATTTGAGCGTTTTATTGATAATCTCAGTTATTAATAACCTCGAGTTTTTTATATTTTTTTAATCCTTCCACGATGTAAACAAAGTATGAAAACTGTAACGAGGACTCCTTGTTTTCCATCCAGACACTCAAACTTAGAAAAGCCTTTAGAAATTTCATAAAAGTTAACTTTTATCACTATTTTTAATTGTTGAATACTTATTCTAGGTTTCAAATCTAAATATTTAATTATCACTTTCGATATGCCAACACAGCATTAGGCAGTAGATGGCGGATGACAATTTTTACTAGCAGAAAACATTGATCTGAAAGCCTCGAGGGAAAAGTGCCTGTCAAAAATGTCAATGTAGTATGTCAATTTTTAGAACTGTGCTCGTAAAATGGTCGCAATTCGGTCACTCCATATTTGACCGTATTTTCATGTAAGATTTATAACGTGTGTAGCTTCAAGATAATTCTACCTGGAAGCTAATTATTCATAAATTAAAAAAATAAAAAAAATGTAGCTAAATTATTACATTTTATCTTACTAATTACTTGCATGGTTTCAAACAAAATTTATACAGTTGCAAGCAAGGCTTGTGTGTTAGTAAATTAAAAAGAGGTGTATAAGTATAGCAGAATTAAAATTTTAAAAGCAAGTTCTTCCTATAAATTACAGTATAATCGTAAACATGAAACAAAGAAAATAACTTCACCGGTTTTAACTTCCAAATTTAATCAGAATTCTTATGTTTTCTTCTGCTTACTAATCATATGTGTGGCTTTAAATTGAAGCAGGAGGCTAAGACCGAACATTACATCAATTTCTTCAAAGAAGTTGTCCGTGCTTTATTATCAAGTAATGTAAAATAAATAAAAACAATTTATATGTGGATATGAAAAGACTCTGTCTGAAGGGATGTAGAGCCATTAGGTTTTTTTCGGAGTAGGAAACATGAAAAATCAGTGATGCTCTCGACGTCATTGGAACTCTAGACCTCGCGTTTGCCAGTCGGGCGTACTTTTCAATTACATCAGAAAGGTACGCGGTAAGGAAGGAGAAAATTCTTTACATTATCCCTTGCTTAAAAAACTCCTCATTTGCCCTTAGCGCAGACTCCAGTGCCAAAACCCAGTGGTTAACAATTATTGTCCCCTATATTTTCGTAGCGCAGAGCTTTTAGAATTTTTCAGACGCAAGTAACATGAAAGATCAGCATGACCCTCCACAGAATTCAAACTCCGGACCTTCCGACTGAAAGCCGCACGTGCTTCCAGTTAAACCATGAAGGTGTACGCAATGGGGAAATTCTTTACAGGGTCACATATAAAGGTAGTTGGACAGGTATACATAATGTTTTTATAACCAGGGACAGAAATGTTTTAACGTTCTCTGAAAGTACACACTTTCAGAATCAAGAATAAAAGAAAAAAAGATGTCCCCCAATTATTTTCAGGCCGTTTGGCCATAATAAATTCTGCTAACATAAAGAGAATTAATTTAAGATGGCCAGAAATCACACAAAATCAGCCCATAAATGATAACACCAAATACGATGGAGGACGTCAATGACTTAGCCAAATAGAAGCGAGCGAGAAAATAGAAGCGAGCAAAATGTAGCGAGGGAATGACTTAGGTCATTCCCTCGCTACACGAATTTCCCGATAATTCGAGCCAACTGAAATCGAAATTCCTCAGTAGCGTGATACGGTTCCGATATTCTATATTCTAAGCTTTGTGGTGACAACATCTTTGCTGTCGATGCTCAGGAGTTAATGACAGATATTGCAATGGAATTCTGCCACCATTAGCTTTCTTGCAAATGGTGCCTCCTGACATAACACGTACAGAATATGTGCGTAAATGGTAAAATCAGATAGCAAGTTTGCTGGTGTATTTACAGCAGCTCTCTATTTCTCATGATTTGTCAAGATGTTGTCATCATAGGTTTGCCACTGTCGTCATGAATGTTATGATGTTTATGGATGTCTCGTTAGAACAATTGGAAACAACATCGTCTGACCCTCATGCCACGTGATTTGTTGGTACAATCAGCCCGCTACCCTGAAGGCAGAAATAGGAACTCTGTCAAACTCCCTCCTCGTTATAACCATCGTCGGAAGGACCATCGAGGGATTATTATTTGCTAACGCAAACAACGTTACCATATGAATAGTACAAATTAATACTGAGGTCCAACATTGTAACTTATTCGTGCTTTCAAGTAAGCAGTTTTCGTGCGCTTTAGATCTGCTGCCTGCGTTTACTGGCTGTGCCTTTTTCCTTATTTCTATATCTGGCTTAAAGCTATTTATATGTTAAGCTCTGAAATTGTAAGGTGATATTTGTAGAAGGAGGTAATATTGTAGGATATTTTGATATAAAGTAAAAGTAGAGAGAGAAAGAGAGAAAAAATTAACACTTGAATACCATAAGTGTTAAAAACAGTGATCCTTCGCACTATCGAAAATTGAGTGTAACTTCCCAGAAACATGACTACTAACATGTAACTCTTGACAAGAAATTCTACCAATAGCATAAAACTTCTGATTAATACACACTCTGCATGATGTATTAAATGTTGTATTCTAAGCAAAAACTATAGAAAAGTAAAGCGAAAATGTACTTACAGAACTGCTATGTATTCACAGATACTTGTGGCCTTTGCTTGCAAGAATCAGCAATCACTCTGTACTTACATCAGTATTGCACTGCAACCTAAAGAAAGGGTGGATATTATACATGTTACTCCATACCAGACATCACAAATACAAAAGAAATTTTTTAATAACAGAGTAGTCATATTTTATAGTAATAAATGACATAATAATTAGTACTTAAACACAGTTTGTACATTCATGAGTTACACCATTTTTAGTTAAATATTTTTACATGTCTAGACTATGTGGCCAGTTTCAAAGTTTTTCAAGTGATAGAATAGGTTTTTGAAACTCGCAGACTTCAAAAAATTTAAAAAGAGCCCTTATTAAAAAAATTCGTACGTCAGTGGAGGGTTGTGTTATTCAAGATGAGCCTAAATGTTCTAAAAAAACAATTTCACAATATTAGGTCATAAACAAGCAATATACAGATATTAGAAATAATTCTGCATATATATCTCTACTACGAACTTAATAATAATTCAAAAAATGAAGCAGGTATTCTTTAATTAAAACTACAGAACCTTCGAAAAGAATTATGCGACTATGACAACGGAATGAATATTCTGTGATGATTTAATTATCGTATAAGATACAGATTATTTACCTCATAAGCTTAGATCAAAATAATAGGCATATTTACGTAAAATCAGACTGACTTTTAATTTAATGAATATCTGCCCATTTATAACGCAAAAGTGAAAACGTAAGTTTTTATTAATATAGCTTTACTGTATTTGGAAGGCAAAGAATATTAAAGCAATAAAACAATTTTCTACGAAATATTTGCATAGCTGAATGCTCACAGCTGTAGTAATTAGTAATTCCAGTAGAGGAGTATAAGGAACGGCGGATTAAAAGTATGAGAAAATCCCGTTACTGAGCAGTATATAACATTAATCTAATGAAATACAGAGACGAGAAAATGCCATTTCCGGAATCTCTTTTCCATAGAATCCCAACACGTCAGGAGATTTGTTATTAAAATCCTGCGTGCCTCTCCATGACGTATCCACGAGGAAATTTCTTTCCCAGATATTGCGAGAGCTTAGAATAAATCAAAGGCAAGCTCCGAACGGATCTCACGTTCTAGATCCTCCACCCTCTTCCCACAGGACAGCTCTTTGAATAAACGATACTCGGGATACGAGACGGTAGAAATGTCACTCACTCCGGATTTATTAGGGGAACACCTTGCACGAGGTATTTTATTCAGTTTATGAAGAGGATTTCCAAGTAAACTCCGAATAGGCAATGAATTTATTTTCTCGTTTACTGAAGTGAAAGCGAAATCCGAAACACCAGTCATAGATTTTGGGAAACTGCTGGTGTTCTTGGAAAATGTTGAGAAGAAGCTGGATCTTTTCATACCGCATCTAATAAGTCTAGAACTGAAATACGAATATATATCGGGAAATGGCATACACAAAGATAATGGGTAAAGGTACACAAATGAAACAGCTACTTCGGGAATTTATATTACTTATCCGGACAGTCTTTATTAAATAAATATCGGATAACTTCTGGATATAAGCCAAGTATTTTTAGCAAATTTTTGCGACATTAAGTTGAAGGTCAGCTTATATAAAAAATTCAGAATGATTTACAAAAAACATTTCATCGTAAAAGTGATATTATAGGCTAAATCAGTGATTCTCAATCTGGGGGCAGAGGGCTGCAAGTATTCTTCGCACTCTGCTCTTGTGGTCCTCTTAGATTTAAAAAAAAAAAAGACAAAAAATAAAATTGGAATTAACTGCACCTGAAATTTCAGAGTTTGGAGCTGAAAATTTCAGAGTGCGAGTACCACCTGCGGTTAGAGGGCCACAGGTGGTTCTCGCACTCTGTTTTTGTGGCCCTCTTAGACCGCAAGTGGTCCTCGCACTCTGCTCTTATGGCCCTCCTAAATTTCCCAAAAAGCAAAAAAAAAAAAAAAATAAATAAAAAAAAAAATAATAAATAAATAAATAAATAAATTCAAATTAACTGCAGCTTAAAATTTCAGAGTGCGGGACGTCTTATGGTTCGTCCTCGCATTTTGCTTTTGTGGCACTGCTAAATATCCAAAATAATAAATAAATAAATAAATAAAATAAAAATAAAAATTTAAAAAAATAATAAAGTTCAAATTAACTACAGGAACAGGTAGAAGCTAGGCCAACCACTGTGATTTTATTAATATCTTATTTAAAACGTTTTCATTTGCTTATTCGTTCAAGTTAGTATTAAATATCAATTTCAGATATTTCATATTACACTGTATATATGGATTAGTTTTAATTAACGTTTAAGTAAATACAGGCTAATCTGTTAACCTCTAAAGAAATTAATAGACGTAGTGCATACTATAGACACTATAGACGTAGTGCTACTAGTTTATACTTGTTGTTGTTTACTCTGTTCCATTCGTATCTTACTAGTGATTTAAATATTTTCCCATTCTACTTGATTACTGCTAAAATACGAATTTACTACAAACTAATACATTAAATGCTAAGCATCGAAAAGTTTAAGTGTGCGGAAAGTGTATAAAAATTCTTTCATAAGAAAGAACAATCATGACAATATTCTTCTGAAATATTCTAAGGAATATAGCAAAATTTAATAATTATTCCAGCATAAATTTGTTTCAGAAAACATCAGTTTAAGAAAGTCCTGTATAAAAAATCTGATGTTGACACCACATTACTTTCTTGTACGGAAAATAAAATTATACGCAATTTTTTGCTGCATTTCATTTAAATTTATTTCTTCGAATTTTATTAGAGATAGATTTCTCATTTAATTAATTCAGTTCACACTTCGCGGTAAGGTAAAAAAAACCTGTAGTTAAAAAAAAAAAAAAACTTTAAAGGTATAAAAACCTTAAAAAGATAACAATAGCATAATTCAATCATTTTTAAAGCAAAACATACACAACTTATCAACATATAAGAATAAAAAAAAACAAAACTGAGTTCCCACTGAGCCGAATAACGAAGTGGGTTATATATATATATATATATTGCATTCGTTATATATATATATATATATATATTGCATTAAATTGCATTCGATAGGGCTCAAAATGGATATTTTTGTTGAAATATGACACCCGGAATTTTTCGTGATTACAATACTTCCTTTACTTCGTACAAGAAAGTGAAAATGACAAAGGAAAAGTGGTAAAAGATTGCATGGAAAAATGTATTGATAAGCTGATATAGTTAGTTCAAGCATTATGTTTAAGTTCATCAAACAAAACGTTTAGAAATAGGTCTAGGCTGACTTTTGTTATTTGAGAGCACAAAATAATGACTTTATTTACAAATAAATCATACAAGTTTGGATGTCCCATTTAAGAAAGGACACTGATTTATTTGACGGACATAAAACTATTGGTGTCAGTTCAAGATAGTATAAACAAACCGGAAGGCGATGAAAGTATCTTTTAATATAATCTCTACGTGAGAAAAAAATCATGCAACAGAATATTTCTTAATCAAATCTGGTCACTTTGTCTCTGCATAAAAAAGGGTATCTTTCAGAAATATTTTGAGAACATATGAGCTAAAATATTTGAAAAACTGAATCGAATATTCAATCTTATGACTGCAAGTACTATTAAGTATAATACCTTAGTTTTGTGCTTCAATACAAAGGCTTTAGTTCTGTGGTAGATAATATAAATAACCATGAAAGAAAAAGGTACAAAAACCCGGATGTACTAACATTCAGTTTTGTACTTCGAATGTCTTGTCGAAGTGTTCAACAGGATGCGTCATTTCAGCGTAGAACCCATAGCCCATTTCTGTTTCTCATGGATTGTCAATCTTTCATTTTGAAAAATTAACGTAACTTCCCGCAAACAACTTATATCTCTTAACAAGCCCCAAAGGCCTTTGCTAAGATGTGGAAAGACAAGGCTCCACAATTTAACTAAAGCGGATCACAGCTTTAGTCAGTGGAACGAGGAATGCCGAGTTCTCTGATAATTTAAACACAGCTGATTTGTCTCGTTTAAGCTGCCTTTCCCGCTACTCTCTGCTCATCCCAAAGTACGTCGGAAGAGAATGGTGGTCTGTTACATTAAAATGGGATCGTAAAATGTATTTAACCGCGAAGTATTTGGGAGAGGAAATTAAAGCAAAGCTGCAGTTGGAAGCTTTCTCTCAGAGCTTTTGGGAATGAAGACTTAGCCATTAACTTCATTAATTAAGAGAACGTTCTTTTGCGCCTGGAACTGAGCAGAATTTAATACTCTAAATGCAGGTGCTCGTCTCTGGGCATAAAAGATTATTGGAATCATCGTCCATGATTAAATCAATAAAAGAAAATGCACCCAGAAATAAAAATTCTTTTACATGACTTTTATTTAACACAAGTTAGAAAAAGATTGAGACTTTTTTATGCGATGTATTTTGGTCTAGCGTAGTATATTCGGTGCATTTTCAACATATATTCATTTTAATTTAATAACTTTATTTAATAAACGTCTCAGAATTTAAATTTCTGATAAAAATACGTCATCAATCTGTTCCCAAAATAAAATTCTTTGAAGCAGTTTGGTTTATTAACACATATACATTGCTACAGCACTTCAATTATCCAAATAAAAGTTAAAAAAAAGGTAACTACACAAGCTTCCGTCACTTAATTCTGCAAAATCAAACAAAAATTCTTCTTTTTTTTATCAAAATTTTATGCAAATCCACTAGCTTATATGTAGCAAAAAGCAGGTTTACACTTTTTTTTCATATTACACAATAATACGAAAAGGTGTTCCTGTAAAAATCATATGAAATGTATTTCATAGCAAGCAAATCATTACTTATATTTTTTGTACAAGTTTTGTATTCTTGAATTAAGGATGTATTAATTTTCTGATGAAGGATAACTTTTTAAAAATATTCTTATATATCTATGTAAGGAATTTTAAGCACGTCAGGCTGGCAATCGGAGGTCTGGCGCTCGAATCCCGCAGAGGTCAGCTCTGATTCTTCACGTTTCCTGCTTCAAAAAGTTCTAAAAACTCTACAAGAGGGGCCTGAACTAAAATAAGGTGGACAATATTTCCCC